GGTTCTTACAGAGACACCCTCTTAAGAGAAATCACGTGTACTATTATCAAGTACAATGCCAATTGGCGTTAGCTTTTTCCATACCGGGAAGTCTGGGTCCTAGTTTTCCTCGTGTAGGGACATGAAATTCAAGATGGCGGACTGTAAGTAAAGCGTATAACTTCAGAACAAAAAATCCAAAAGGAGAAAGTTTAAAGTTCTATCGTCTACCTAGAGATCCAGATATTCAACGTGAATACTCAAGAGCACTACAGACGAAGGGAATAAACTGGACAAATGGACATATTTGATATTGCAATTTGATATTACAGTACCTCCCTCTCAAATATTAATGTTAGAAAAGAAGCTATATAAAGCAAAACTCCGCATCAAGAAGTTCAAACCCCAAAAATGTGAACAAACTAAGATACAAAAGTTAGAAAGAAAACTACATTTGGCCAAAAGTTATGTTACGGCTAATTCAACTGTTGGCAAGAAACGCAAAGCATCCAAAGAAAGGATTCATCAGTGGAAAACAAAGAAAGCTTTCCAAAAGGTAAGTGTGTCTGCAAAGAGATAACAAAAAGTTGGAACAGCTGTTGTTAGAATCCCAAACTAAACTAGATGAACTGAAAGAAGAAAATTCGACTTTAAAAATATCCCAAAAAAAGCTTAGTGCAAAAAAACAAGCATTAAAGTCAAAGAATACTCAACTAAATCTAGCAGCAAAAAATTTACAAGAAGAAATATTTTCTTATGATAATCTTGTAAAAATACCAAAGTCATTTAAGTTTATGTGTGGTTTATCAGTGGAACAATTTTAAAACATTGCCTGGCATTGTGTACAACCATATTCTCATCTTATACAATATCCTGGTTGTAAAAGCAGTGAAGAAAGAAGTATAGACAAACCAACTCAACTGCTTGCTTTTTTGACTCTCTGTAGGCATGCACTTCATCAAGGTGTGATGCCATTTATTCTGCATGTTGGTAGCACTACAGTTCATCGTATATTTGTTGACTGGACAGTATTTATTGAAGCACTTTTCAGTTTCACTGATCTAAAACCTGACAAAGGATTCCTACTGAAATTTTTGTCAAGACTGGTCATGGATTTACTGATATGATCATTGACTGCATCGAATTCAAATTTCAACATGTATCAAATCTAGACTTTAATTCTCTTATGTTTTCAAATTATGCGAACACTATCACAGGGAAAGCACTTATTGGAATTGCACCACATGGAATGGGGCTTCTCTTTTGGCGATATCCTGGTTATAGCAGCATAACAGAAGTCAGGGGTTATTGATTGGGTAGAACCCGAGCATGAGCTAATGGCCGATAGAGGATTTACTGTTCAAGATCTATGCACAACAAAAGGTATATACTTCAATCGCCCTGCACACAAAATGGGAGATCAGTTCACCCAGGCAGAGGTTGCATCAAACTTTGACATTGCAGCGACAAGAATTCATGTTGAAAGGTTCATTGGACGTGTTCGGGAATGTCAACAAATGTAGAGACCTTCAAGAAAAATCTTAAGACTCACCTTTTTAAGAAGGCATATTATTGATTTTTTTTCCCCGAAATTTT